CACTGCAGTCAGAGGCCAGGCCTGCTGCAAGAACTGAGTGCCGACCTGCATGAGGAAGAGGTAGCTTAGGACGGGACTGAGGCTCCACCGTGGCTGTGTCAAGTGTCCCCACCGGGTTTGTCATTTTGAAATGTGACAGACACAGAGAGCAGACTCTCCAGCCAGTAGTGTTGAGAATCGTCTTTCTGGTCTGAGCGGCCTTGCTGACTGCGGCGTTCACGGGGACCCGCCCCCACAGGCCCTGCTTTCTGGCCATGCCTCTGGTATAGGTGACCATACCTGGTGCCAGCGAACTGCGTGAGCGAGCGCCTGGACCCCGGAGCACGTGTGTGTAGATCAGGACAGTGTTTTAACTGTGAGTGGGCTCAGCGCTCCTCAGCCCTCCCGCATTCCCTGTCACAGCACGTGCTGTTGTACCCTCTCCACACTGTCGAGCTGAAATTCGTAGATAATACAACTTCCTATTTGAATAACTTCAGAAAATCAGTTTGTGACCTTAGTAGAATATGAAGAAGAAATAAGGGGAAGGGACTAGATGGGAACTCTGTACTGGCTGCACAATTTTTCTGTAAACCCGAAACCGCTCTAAAAAATAGTCTATTTTAAAAAAGAAGAAATCAGAGTAATTTATAATAAAATAGTATTTCAACCTGTGCCCGCTCGGGCACGGCAACCTTAGCAGACGGTGAAATCCGTAGGCGCGTAAGCCAGCCGGCCAGTACGGTGTGGTTGTTGGCCACTTACCGTCTACCAGAGGCACTGACGTGGGGTAGAAGTTCTGAAACACTAGGGACCATCAGAATCACCCGGGGGCTTGTTAAAACACAGATGGCTTGGCCCCACCCCTAGACTTTCTAATTCAGTGGGTCTGGGGTGGGTTTGGGAATCTGCATTTCTAACTGGTTGCTGACTGCTGCTGTCAGACAGGCTTTTGGGGCCAAAGCTGTAGCCAGTGCGTTTTTCCAAGGCGGTGGACACCTCTGCTAAACTTCCAGATGCGGGGAGCTATGACGTTCCTGCAGTTTGCAGAGTGCAGGCAGTCCCTGGGTTACGAACATCTGACTTACATACAACTTACATACACCCCAGAGTTGCGAACCAACCTGCAGTAAAGCCTGTTATATTAAATATTCGAGGTATATACACTGCCTCGTAGTAACAAATGGGCGCTACTTTGCGACTTGCATCAAAACGTTATTATCAGTACTGTATCATTACGTTCAGGATGTTTCAGTGTATCTGGAAGTGTTTCTTTAATGTTTTTATGCATGGGAAGCTACTCTATATAGGATATACTAAGACAGACGTTTGACTGACTGATGTTAGCTACGAGCGTGCCTAACTGTTCCTGCTTATGTACAAATTCAACTTAAAGACAGACTTAGGAATGGAACTAGTTCGTTGTCAGGGACGGCATCTAGTTGTATTTCTGGAAAATTGTGTCCCAACCATGTAGAAAATACTTCTAGATCCATAACGGAGTTACAGTTTCTAGGCTCAGATGGTTGTGAACAAGCTTTGCCCCTATATGAAGGCCCAGAGATACTGAATGTTCTGAGTGATACAGGACAGTTCCTTATTGGGTGGCACTGTCCCGCACGCCACCCCCCGCCCAGCCCCTGCTCACGAAATACCACAGCGACAATCAGAGAGTCCCCCACACTTTCCAAGATGCTGTCCACTCACTGGGAACCACTCACTGCTGGGACTCGTAGCTGACACAGGCACACTTCTGATTCTTTACTTCAGAGTCAAGTTCAAGGCTTTGTCCCTTTGAGCACAGAAATGGTCACCACTTAAAAGTCGGACAGGTTTTTTAGATTGTATTACAGTACAATGAGGGATCAAGAAGTGAAAAACATAAAAGGGAATTTGTATATTCTAAAAGCACATTTTTACATGCAAATATGTGTGTATATATATACTTTATATGAAGCCTTTGTTTAAGTCTATAGACAGTGCTTTAAAAAGTTAGGCATCATCTCTTAGAAATGATTCCCACTTCGAAGCATTTTTTACGGGCAAACAGGATATCATGGCTTACAGTCAAAGGACCATAAACCAAAAAACTCATTGCCGTCAAGTCGATTCTGACTCATAGTGACACTGTAGGACAGGGTAGCTCTGCCCCACAGGGTGTCCTAGCTGTAGTATTTATGGAAGCCGACTGCCACATCTTTCTCCCATGGAGCGTGTGGTGGGTTCAAACTGCTGATCTTTTGGGTATCAGCCGAACACTTAACCACTGTGCCGCCAGGGCTCCTTCATTGGACCATAAAAAAAATTCATTGCCATTGAGTCAATCTCAACTCATAGGACCATGGCCCTCCGTAACGCAGTGCGGGAGAACTGCCCTTTCCCTCCCTGGTCTCCGTGGGGTGGGGTCCACAGATGCCTCCCGCCTCTTCAGGATGACCCCTCAAGGTGGCGCGCTTGCCTGTCCCCTGTCCACTTACGGGGCCTGTGCTTACCTAACCCAACCAGTGTAACGCATCTCAGAATCAGAGCTTTACAGGGAATTGTGCTTGTAAACTAACAAGAGCAACTGCAGCCCCAAAACCCTTCGCTCTGTTGTCTAGTAGGTCAGTGTCTTTGTTTCCTCAGCGCCCAGCACAAACCTGGCATAAAACAGGCATTTAATGAATATGTGAACGAATGAACCTCTAGACTGTAGTAGACGCTAACCTCTCTAGCACTGGTGTATGAAGTAGATAGATGTTGACGTGTTGAGGGACTTAACTGCTTCCCAGGTAGACAGCACATTCTTCTGGCTTCAGTATTAAGAAATGGCTGATGTATGTACTTCTCCCCGTTTCAGGGTGGATTCATGCTGTGCTCACTTCTCAGGACTGTATGGCTTTCGGGGGGAACTTCCTGCACAACCTTAACATTGGCATGCAGCTCAGGTTTGTGTCAGCCGTGGTCGAAGGGTCTCTGCCCTTTCTTAAAAGGACAGTCTTTAAAGGTTTCAAAAAGATAAATATGTGACACGTTTTATCGAGAGTCCAAGGAGACAGGCGCAGAGAAATGACTAGGAGTGGGAGCTTTTGTCAGGGAGAGACCATCATGCATTTCAAGTCTTGAATGAAAAAAATAATTGATTCAGTTTGAGACTAAATATCTGCCTGAACTTTAGAAGTTGTATGAAAATGCCTGTGCTCTCCTTTGGTGTGGTCCTAGTGAGGGGCATCAGAGTGGCTGTCAGGACTCCTGCCTCCGTGTGCTGTGGGCCAGGGATGCACAGTGCTGCCCCCTCTGTGTGCGAATGTGGCCTCTGGGTGACTGTTCCCACGTAGCCTGATGCGGGTAGAGAGCTAGTCGTGGTAAAAGTGATCCCTAGTCGTGGTAAAAGTGATCCCTGATGAGAGACCCTGTCGGACTGGGAGAACGAGAATCACCTGGTAGGAAGCCAGCTCTCTGGGCTTCCCTGATGAGGCAGCTCTGTAACTGGGCATGCTCCTTGCGGGAACCCTGGAAGCTCGGCGTCTGTGAAGTTGTTACAAGAGATGTTGGCTCCTGTGGGCCTGCAGCTTAAAGCCGGGCGCGTGGATCTTGTCTCTGTGAACCTGAGCTGTCACTGAGGCAGAGAGCTCCCGGATGTCTGGACTGCTTCAGGGACCCCACAGAAGAGTAACACGGCGGCCAGCTGTGGGTCCTGCCTCCTCACCTTCTGAGTCGATCGGCGCCGTGTGGGTCTTGTGAGCCGAGAAGAGCCTAGGGCACCCCCGCCCCCTGGGTGGTGGGGCCAGTTGTCCCGCACAGAGAGCTGTTTTCTGAACACCTGTTTTATTCATTATAGTAGAGCCCTCATAAAATTCCTTCTGATAAAACTGGGATGTGACCTAAGGTGTGGTCTTCTCTGAAGTCCAGTGTAATTCTGAAGTCCCCTGTCACATTTGGTAAGGCCAGACCCTGGATGCAGTCACAGTTCAGTCTGGCCCAACTGTGGTGTTTGTAAGTACTAGACAGTACTTGATTGGTCCCATATATCATGGCCTGCTTCTTTTATTTTCCTTAAGTTGGTTACCTACATTTAATGTTGAAATGCGAATATTAAATACTTCTTCAAATTGTATTCCTTTAGGTGTTACGAGATGGAGAAAAGGCTAAAAACACCAGATCTTTTCAAATTCCCTTTCTTTGAAGCCATATGTTGGTTCGTAGCCAAAAACTTACTGGAAACCCTGAAAGGTAATTAACAGTTTGTACATTTTGTTCTATGTGTGATGCATGGTGTTTGTCAATTCACTAACAGCCACCTAACAGAAAGAGAGGGTGTGGCAGTCACCCCATTTTGTTTTTTAAATACACGATTTCCCCGCCAGGAATCTGTCTAGCAGATTAGAGTGTCTAGTCCATGGCCTCACAAACCTCTGTTCTTGAAGTCAGTTCTCTGAAAGGCCGCGTCCAAACAATAGAGGTGCTGTTGGAAGACGTTCGTCTCACTCATGAAATGCTCCCAAACGTTTGCCTTGAAGACTCAGGGTCATACTTTTCTGTTCTGAGTGATTCATAACAGACACTTCTGTTCAGGACCGTTATGCTGACTAGTGTAATTCACTGGTTAGTGTACGATCTGATGGCACGTCAGCTTATGATTCTGTAATGGAAGAAAAGTGTTTTCTGAGCATCCCTCTATTTATACTCAAAGCTGTTTTTTGGAACGTGGAACTTCAGGTTTGGGTGTTCTTACGTTTTGATGTAATAATCTCTGAGCAGTCAAGCTGGAGACTGTCATTCCCGTCTCTGTCCCTTTTCTGCTTTTCACGCACTTGCGCCAGTGAGAGTACTGACATTAGTATGTCTGGTTTTGTGTTGTCTAGAGTTCGTTAGTAAAGCTACTACTGTAACAGATACACGCAGATTAAACAGTATAGTCTGCCCTGAACGCTTGTTTCTTTTTCCATTTATAACTGACACAAGAAAAAAAATGTAAAATGAAGAAATGACAGAAAATTTACTCCTCAGAGTAACATGCACAGAACTAAAATAATAACACTCATTTATAGTTTCCTTAAAAAAAGAATAAAAGACCCCCTCTCTGAGCGGAGGGAAGGAACAGTAGGCCCCAAACCTCTCCCTGTGCGGTGCAGCACAGAGGTAGATGTTCTGGTAGCAGCACAGGTGCGCGTGAGGAAGGTGGGAACTCTTGGATGAGGAGGGGCAGGGCCCTTCCTCACAAGACCAGTCTCTGCTCCAGAACTGGGTCCTTCGGTGACTCTCTGACTTGTGCAGTGTTTGTGGGTATTTTCCTTGGCTGCAGGAATGTCACCATGGATCATAGAGTTGCTGTATGCAGTTTGCAGAAAAATACTGGACAGTAAGGGGCATTGTCTTCCCCTCCGGGTAAAGCCTGGGAAAGCAGGAACACATATAAGTACTTAGAAAAACACTTATAAATGTCTTTGTTTTCTGGAAATAAAACCCAACTACTGAACCCTCCAGTTAAGAGGTTGGCAATTCTGTACTCGGTTCAGAGCACTTTCTCCATCTTTCCCTCCTCTTGTCCCAGGACCTCCAAATCCCTGTCTTATGGTAGCTAGGAGAAACTGCCCACTCATGGACATGTAAGCACACGCATGCACACGCACGCACGCACACGCACACCCTGGGGTGAGGCATGGGCTTCTTTTCTCCTAATGTGTAAGAGGGCTCATCGATCAACTTTTTAGAACAAATTACGAGTTCGTCTGAAAGACAAAATACGCTGTCACGAGCAGCAAATTGCTGAGTCTTAGAATAACCACTTAGTCTTTGTTTTTGACCATCGAGGTTTCAGAAATACTGAGGTCTGACGGTAAGCATGACCCTATACATTAAAGACTCTTTTAAAACATTACCATAAAAGGATATTTGTAGGTCAAATCTAAGATACTGTTAATTTATCAGCCAGGATACCTGACATTACTCATGATTCAGTCCAGTCCCACTAAGACTTGGGTGTCAGAAAGCCAAAGGGCCGCTACGCCCATTGTCGTTGGCCTGGACGTTCATCTGGGAGACAGGAATACGGCCTTGTTACCCCGTGTTCTGTTCTTCCATCCCTAGTTTTTACTTTCCATTATGCCCTATTATTTGCCAACTTCCAGACTGGTAGAAGGCTTGTGTGATGTGCTAAGTGAGGGTGGATTGTCCAAAACTCTTAACTGGGTTTCATGTCAGTAAAACAGCCCATTCTGGATCTGTGTGAGTAAATCAGCTGCTGGGCAGAAGTGAAATCTTTTCCTTTTGCTTCAACATACCTGAAGTTTGGACCCCATCTGATACATTTTATTTGGGTTTTAGATAATCACAAATTTGGTTAAAACACCCAAACAGACATTTTAGAGTATGTGTGTGTTTACTTTTATAGTCACGAAACCTATGTGATACACCGATGATTGAATGGATCCCTGGAGATCTCACTCTCTTATGGTTGAAACAATGAGACGATCACTTGTGTAAACTTCCCCAAGTTACTCAGAAAGCTCCTTTCCATTACTGAGAGACTCCTGCTCACCTTCCTGATACGCCCTCCTCTCGTCCCCCTGGACGTAACTACTGCGTTGACTTTTGGGAGGATCCTTTCTTTTTTCCTTTCAGTTTTCTCACCTGTGGCATAAACTAAAGTAGCTTCATTTTGTCCAGTTTTGAGCTTCACACGAATAGGTTGACGCAGACAGTCGTGACCTGTCTTTTACAAGCATCATGTCTGTGAGGTTCATCCATATTTTCTGTGTCACTATAGTTCTTTCTTCATTTTTCATTTCTGTTCCGTAGTATTCTGTTGTGTGACTATGCCACCACTGATATACCTGTTCCACAGTTGAGGGCATTTTGGAGTTGTTTTCAGCTTGGGGCAGTTACGGAAAACATTGCTAAGAAGTTCTTGCCTGTGTCACCTAGTGCCAAGAGTTACTCCAGAGAATAGACCCATGGGTGTATTGCTTGGTCGTAGACAGAATTGACTAGATGATGCTACTTGGTTTCCCAAAGGGACACCATTCTACAGTCCACTGGCAGAGTATGAGACGCCCCAGGGCCTCACCCTCTGGCTGGCACTTGTAACTGTCAGATTTTAATGTTTGCAGGTATGATGGGTACATAGTAGTGTTCCTTGTACTTTTAATGTGCATTTCCCTGATTATTATGCAATTGAGCATTTTTTCATATGCTTACTGACCTTTTGGACATCCTTTTTATTGAAGTGCCTATTCAAGTCTTTTGCCAATATTTGAATTTGGTTGTTTGTTTCTATACGCATTTATAGGAATTTTTTGTATATTCTGGATTCTAGTTCTTTCAGTGCTTATTGTGCCCTGTTTGAAAAGTTCTTTCTTATCCCAAAGTCATGCAGATATTCTGAAATTTCTAGAAGCTTTTACAGTTTTGCATTTTTACATTTTGGTCTTTAACTCACTCGGAATTGATTTTTTTGTGGATGGTGTTAAAACGAATAAGTTGCCACTGATTGGACTTTGACTCATGGTGACCTTTTGTGTGTCAGAGTAGAGCTGTGCTCTGTAGGGTTTTCAGTGGATGATTTTTCATGAGTAGATCTCCAGGCCTTTCCTCCAGGGGACCTCTAGGCAGCCTCGAACCTCTCATTTTTCAGTTAGCAGCTGAGCACATTAACCTTTCGTACCACCAAGGGAGTCCAGATGGTGTAAGGACGGGTATATTGCTGTTGGTTTCCTTATAAATACCCAGCTGTCTCCGTACCATGTTTTGAGTAGTCCATTCTCTCTGTCGCTGGCAACACCGGTTTTGTCCTATACCATGTGTTGACATCGGTGCAGGTCCTGGGATATATGTCCTTTCTTCTGTTCCCTTAGTTAGCTTGTCCTCACACCAACCACACTGTCCATCAGCATTCTGGTAAGACTTGATTGCTAGCAGGCCCTCCTGCCTTAGTCTTCTTCGAGTGTGCCTTGGGCTTTTTTGTCCTTTCACTTCTGTAAAAATTTTTGGGTTAGTTTATCACAAGCTGATCTCCTACCCACCCCCCACCCCCAAAAAAAAAAAAAATGCGAGCAATCAAATAATCAGAAACCTCCTGGAATTTTCATTTGGATCACATTGAATCTAGAGATCAGTTCTGGTAAAATTTTACATCATTAGATCTTCAGTGTCCTTCGGTTTTATAATTTTTTTTTTTTTTAAAAGATCTGACACATACATCTCTTACTAGATTTATTGCCAGGTACTTCATATTTTTGTAGTCATATAAATGACATATGTATCATTATTAGATATGAAATTATAAAATAAAACAATGTATCTCACTATTGTATATAACATTATGTATATATGATTGAACCCTATGAAATTGCTGTTTCCGGAGGTCAAAAATGGTCAAATATTGGCAATTTCTTGTGGTTCAGCCTAATAACCATGTGATGGTGGAATATAGAAGCAGTTAATTTTTATACTGATTTTGTATTTACAACCTTGTCTAACACTCTTGTTGATTCTAATAATTTACCTGAGGATTTCTTTTAGGTTCTTTAATACACAATTACATCCTTCTTGAATGATGACAGCTTTGGTCCTTTCCAATCATTATATCTTTTATTTATCTTTCTTGCTTTGTTGGGTTGGCTAGGATCTGCAGGGCAATGCTGAAAAGAAGTGGTTCTAGGTGTTCATTTATATATTGTGTAATATATCTTGTTTCCAGTCTCAACGGGAAAGCTTTCAACCTTTCACTATAAAATATTATGTTTGCTGTAGGCTTTTTGTTGGTAACTTTTATCAAGTTTAAGAAGTTTTGTCTATTCTGAGTTGGCTAAAAGGTTGGAATTTTTTTTTAAATCATCATTGGTAGTTAAATTGTATCAAAAGCTTTCCCTGCGTATATTAGACAGTCCTGTGTATTTTTTTCTTTTAATCTGCTAATTTATTGGTTACATTAATTGATTTTCTACTATTAAACCAACCTAGGTCTTGATATGTTATCATTTTTTTATACTAATGCATTAGATAAGAATATTATTTATATTATATATTTCTATGTAAGTTATATATTGTATATTCAATATGTACAGATAGAAATATATTTACATAAATATATTTAGTATGTATATATTATGTAATATGTGTGTATTTTATCTCTTTTGTCGCTGTGTTCATGAGTGAAATTGGCCTATAATTTTGCTTTCTCATACTGTCCTCCTTAGGGTTTTGATATGAAAATTATGCTAGCCTCAGAAAAAAAGAAGTTGAGAGTTTTTCTGCTTTTTCTGTTCTCTGGAAAAGTTTGTGTATGACTGGAATGATTTCCTCCTTGAATCTTGGTAGAACTCACTAATGTGGCCATTGATCTGTCATTTTCTTTGTGGAAATATTTTTGACCACTGAGTCAGTTTCTTTATTGATGATAAGACCATTCAGGTTCTCTAGTTTTTACTGAGTCGATTTTGATATTTCTAGAAATATGTCCACTTCATCTAATCTTTTACATTTGTTGGCATAATGTTTGTGTGATTCTCTTAACTGTTTAGTGTATGTAGCGTTTGTAGTGATGGCTCTTTTCTCATTCTTGATATTGGGTACTTGTGCTGTTTTCTCTTCTTATCAGTTTTTTTAAAGAACTAGTTTGAGATTTGTTAATCCTCTCTGTTTTTATTTATTTATTTATTTGCCCTGATTTTTCTTCTGCTTTTTGTTGTCTTTTAACTTCGTAGTGGGTTCTTGACTCATTAATTTTTAACCTTCTTTTCTAATGTAAGCATTTAAGGCTATATGTTTCTATTGTAGTAGGTCACACGTTTTGATGCAGTGTTTTCATTATTGTCTAACCAAAATGTCTTCTGATTTCCAATATGCTTTTTCTTTGACCTGAACATTATTTAGTAGTCTATTTCTTAATATCTGTATTTCTGAATTTGCAAACATATGTGCTTTTTCTACATAGCTATTTTTTTACTGATTCTGTGTTATTGATTTCTAGCTTAATTATTTTGTGGTTAATGAATATACTATGTATGATTTAGATCCTTGGACATATGTTGAGACATGTTTATGGCCCAGGGTTAGGGATAGTTTTTGTGTATGTTTGAAAAGGATGTGTATTCTGCAGTTGCTGGATGCAGTATTTATGGCCATTGAATCAAGTTTGTTAACTATATTGTTCTTACTGAATATATGCCTCCTGATTCTTTTGTTGAATCCTCTTAGTCTATCATTTGTTAAAAGAAGTGTGTTAAATCTTCCACTGTGATTGTGGAGTGCTTTATTTCTCCTTGTAATTCTGTCTAGTTATTGCTTTCTATATTTTCAGGTTATGTTATTAAGTGTGTACAAATTTTAAATGGTTATGTTTTTCTGGTGAATTGAATATTTTATCATTATGAAATGAATGACCCTTTATTAATGATAGTCTGTTAATGTAACTACACCAGTTTTCTTTTGAAAGGCTGGTATTTTTTCTCCCATCTTTTTATTTTAAACCGTTCTGTATTTTTATACATTATGTATATATTTTGAGTTTACAGGTAGTCCCCGGATTACAAACAAGTTCTGTTCCTAAGTCTGTCTTTAAGTCGAGTTTGTATGTAAGTTGGCACAGTTAGGTATGATAGTCAAATGTTCATCTTAGTGTGTAGTACATAGTGTTCCTTTCTATGCATAAAAAACATTAAAGAAACATTTTCAGATACACTAAAACATCTTAACATAATAATACACTAATAATAATAATGTTTTGATGTGTGTCACAGTGTAGCACCCATTTGTTATTACGAACCATTATATGTATCTCGAATTTTTAATATAATAGGCTTTACAGGGGTTGGTTCGTAACTACAGGTTGTACGTAAGTCACACATTTGTAACCTGGGGACTGCCTGTGTTTTTAAATCCAGTGGGATGGTCTTTTAACAGGAGCATTCAGTATAATTACATTTAATATGATTCTGTTTCTTTTTCTTTCTTGCCTTTTGAACTGATTGTTTCTTATTCCATTTTTTTCTTTCTATTAATTTGGAAGTTACACAGGTTGATCCCCTTTTTTTAGTGGTTCATCAAAATCTAAAGGTAATCCCTTTAATGTCTTCCCAGACACCGTCAGGCCCTCAGTTCTGTAACCCCTTTCCCCACTGCTTTCCCACAGAGCTGAGAGAGGATGGTTTCCAGCCTCAGGCGTACCTGGTGCGGGGAGTCAAAGCCCTGCACTCTGCTTTGAGATTGTGGATGAAGAAAGAGGTGAGTCATCTGTCTTGTACAGTCCGCGTCGTGTCAGTGGGACAGGATGAGGACAGCAGCGTTCTTGTGCTGTTCTGGCAGCGCTTGTCAGTGGCAGTGATCAAGGGAATGGAAATTACGCTTTAAATATGACCTGCATTTTGTTATGCAGTATAGTGTACAGATGGGCTGGGTTATCTTTATGTTTAGGAGAATAGAGCACATAGTCCTCTGATCTTTAATCTGGAAAAGAAGGTAATTTCATGAATATCTAGGATGCCGACTAAGACATTACCGTATTTTTATGCACATAATGTGTGCCCTCTGCATTTGTTTGCCAACTGCGCCCTTCCCCAGTGAGGTATTTTCATAAGCACTGCTATGGCAGTTTTTTTTTTTTTTTTTACATGTTGCTGTAAAATGTAGGCAAACAAGCATAGAAGATGCACATTATTTTCATAAAAATATAGTGTGCTCAGCACTGTGCTAAGTCGTTATATGCATAACCTAATTTAATCCTCAAAGCAACTATGTGAGATCTGGGTGCTATTGTTTCCCCATTTTGCAGATGGGAAAGCTGAGGTTTAAGAGTTTAAGTAACTTGCCCGAGATAACTGGTGGAGATGGAACTTAAACCTAGGTCTCTGCAGTTGCAAAGTGTATGGTCTTAACCACTCTGCTAGACTTACATAAAAACGGAGGAAGGGAGAGTTGAGGCTTCAAGGACGAGCTTTTGGTTTTCACCAAAATGTTGTCCAGTTGTTTGCATTTGAATCTTACCACCTTCAAGACGTCATCCCAGATCTCCATTTGTAATGAGTGTTTCCTTCCCTTTTGCTTCCATAGTGTATTTCTTGTGCCAGTGTAATAAGACTTAAAAGCCATCTGTGAAAAGCAATGTATCCATGTCTCCCTCAAGAGGTTTTGAGCTCCTGAAGAAAAGGGACTGACTTCCTCATCTGTATTTCCCCTTGGAACTTTGCACGCAACACTTTAATAAGTGCTAAGTCTGTGAACCAATGAAAATACACTTCCTTATTAACTTCCTGAATGGCCACTTGACGTAAAAATTCTGCTCTTGAGAGGTATTCGGAGACATTAATTAATAGGTTATCTTCCCAATAATTTTCCACTCCCTTTCACTTTGTTATCATTATGTTACATACCCAGTAGTGCAAAGAGCTGTGGATGGATTCAGAAAATAAAAATCATGTCTTCCGCTGTCAAAGACGTCATCGTCTGAGAAGCAAAGACAAACACGTTAAAAGTTACATAGCAAAATAAAGACAAAAGATATATTGTAAAAACTATAATTCATTGCTTGCTGAAGGTTTTCGACTAGTGTTCTCAAACCTGTGAGTACATCGGCATTGCCTGTAGTGGTTTTTACAAATAAAACCTCTGGGTCCTCCCCTAGAGGTTCTGATATAATAGCTCTAGGATCTGGACCTCTGTTTGTAACAAACTTTGTGGATGATTTTGGTGCATATACCAAAATTTGATATGAATAATAAATACTGTTAACATATTATAGTACAGTAATTTATGGAAATGAATTTTGTTTTAAAGCATGATGCTTATATTTAACTGTTAAATTTGCTCTAAAAATGAGAAGCAGCTTAGCATCATGGGTAAGAGCATGGCCTCTGGAGCCAGATGTTTGCAATAAAATCTCAGCTTTGCCACCAGTAAACCAGCTTTGTGACCTCGTGTGAGTCACCTAATGCCTGCTTCAGTTTCCTCATTGTGAGATAGGGGTAAGAGGAGTATCTTCGTCACAGTGTTGTTGGAAGGGTTAAATGAGTTATTATACTTGTGAAGGTCTTAGGATAGTGTCTTGCCTGGCACATAGTTAGCACTTGATGTTGCTTTTTGTTATTAGTTTATTTTAATTATGCCAACACCAAGGAAAAGGAAGGTGTAAAGTGAAAGCAGAAATCAGTATGTTGAGTGTGTCCAAAGAACCGAATGTTCTCAGCTGTAGAGACTAATGTTTGGAAATGGGTGTGATAAATAACGGCGGTAGTTAGCAGCAGTTCAGTAAATAGGTGGCTCGTCAATTAATTCCTCTTCCCTGTTGATGAGATCTTATTCCTGTTTTGCCTTTGACTCTGAAAAGAAAAAAAAGTTTGCGAAAATTTAGTCAAATTAGAATGGATTCAAGTTAACAGCCCCAATAATGGGACAAGTTGAAATCATGTGCCATTGGGTAGGATACCATAGGCAGAACACATTATCACTTCTGTGACATTTCCTGCCAAAGATGTATAACCTGAGCCTAATAATGAAAAAACATCAGACAGTCCCATGAGAAACTAGGATTGTTTTACTGCCTACGTTCGTTCCCCTTACAAATCCTTATGTAGTATGAATTAAATGTTAGGCTTAATCAGTTACTCTACTAATTATTATTAATAGTAGTTAGAATTATGGCAGGTTTTAAGGTGTAGGTTACAAGATTACTTACTACTCAGTAAAAGCAAAGTTCAGTGTAAGGCAAGTCAACCTGCAGCCCGACCTAAGAGTTTTATAAGTTAAGGAGAATCTCCTCAGGAGGCATTATACCAACTAATGAGCTCTGAGACCTGGCTGAGTAAGAGACACTGTGGTATTTAGCTATGTCTCTACAATCTAGAGAACACAAAAATCACTTATATTAAAGTGTAAGTAACTTTGATTTTCTTATCTTCGTTAATTCAAATACAGCTTGTATCTGAACATGCCTTTGAAATTCCAGACAACGTTAGACCTGGACATCTTATTAAAGAACTTTCTAAAGTAATTCGAGCAATAGAGGTAAGTGTAGAAACTGTATGTAAATGCTTGATTGCTGTCTATTTGGAGAAGCAAACGGTCCGATTAGATTCAGGTATCCAGAGATGAATACTGAGTAATTAGAGAAGGAGAAAAATGTGAGGTGAGTGACGAGAGCTTGGTGGAGCTGTGCTGGTAGGAGGATGGTATTGGTGGGGTGAGCCAAGGAGAGCCACCTGGCTGAAAACATTAAAGCAAACTTGTTAGAAAAGTGCTTTTTGTCAAAAGCTCATAAAATCTGTGATTAGGTGTTATAATTGCATAATTAGGAGCTATCTTAGTATTTAAGAAAGGACATTAGAATTAAAGTCATTCTTCTAAAAAGCGGTTCTGTTAGTGGATAGCTCAAATTGAGAGGAAATTAAGTGGAAGGATGGAGGCCAGCTGGTAATTTAAGAGCTTAGATTAGGGCCGTGTTTGGACTATGGAAAGAGGTACCGTATTTTTACGCAAATAATGTGCGCCTTCTACGTTTGTCAACCATGCCCTCCCCCAACAAGGTATTTTCGTAAGTGTGCTATGCAAGTTTTGTTTTACAGCAGCATGTAAAAAAAAAATTGGTATAGAGGCGCTTATGAAAATATCTTGTGGAGGGAGGGCATAGTTGGCAAACAAACATAAAAGTTGTGTGTTATTTGCATAAAAATACAGTATACATCTAAGATATTAAAATGCTGTGTTTAATATCCATAGATAGAGTAGTTCATGTAATTCTCAATTGTGTTCTGACATTTTCTGTTTTTAAAGAGTGATGGTACCCCTAAAAAGATAAAATACTTAGGAATAAATCTGACCAGGGATGTAAAAGACCTATACAAAGAAAATTATAAAACACTACTGCATGAAACCC